AGAACTGTGAAAAGTGCCTCCAGGAGTGGGGTATTTCTTTTTTTTAAAAAACACAGCCTGATGTTTAATGCGCGGTGCGCACACATGCCCGGCACAGAGCAGCACACTGGCTGCTGGAGAGCCTGCGGGCAGCCCCGCTGCAGGGACCCCGGGGAGCAGGGAGGCTGTTCCTGGGTCTGTCGACTCCCGATGCACCTTGCCGGGGGCACGGCAGGGCTCTGCCAAGAGGAGGGGGTGAGCGTAGCCGGCCTGCTCCCCTGGCGGCCCCGGGGAGGTGCTTTGGTGCACAGCAAGGGCGTTGCAGCGAGGGGGACTGGGCAGCGAGGCTGCTGCCCTCCAGCTCCATGGCACCGGCAGCAGCGGCTGCTGGAGCAGACAATGCATGTCCCCCAGACAGGGTCTGCCCTGGCCGGGCACTGCAGTGGGGGCTCACCCCTGCAAGGGGACCCGGGGAAGGAGGCTGGGGAGGAGCCGGTATCGACTTTAACAGGCTCGGAGCTATGGATGCCTGGATAACCCAGTGAGGCCTCGGGACAGAAGCAGTCAGAGAAAGCAAACATCAGCAACCCTGGCTGCAGCAATTCAGCTGGAGAGAGCGAGGCGCTGATTTATTTATGGGATAAACCCTGCACAGCTGCCACGGCCGTGCTGCCTCGCTGCATGCTGCACCACGGCTGTTTCCAAGGTCTGCATCAGTCCGGTGCCCAAAACCCAACGCTGTGGGGTCCCTAAAGCATGGCCTGCTGCCACCGGCTTTGGGGCTTGCTCTGTAGAGGGAAACCCGATGAAAGACCTAACTGGGAGGAGACACCACAGCGGCCCCCAGCATCCCGTGCAACGAGGGGACTGCAATGGAAGACCCGGGGCATCGCGGGGGCGGCAGCACACCTTGAGGGTGGTGGGTCCCCGCTGGACCCAGGGTGTTCCCTGTGAAGGTGACGTGGGAACAAGGAGAGGCTGTGGTCCAGGGGGACAGGATGGCCAGTGGGAAGAGACCTGTGGAGAGATACTGGAGAGCCATGTCCAGCGGCCCGTGCTGGGCTGCTGGGGAGCTACAGGAGACGATGGCCAAGGCTGTCCTTGTCCCCTGCAGTGCTGGCACAGGGACATGGTCCCCACACCACACGTGGCCCCAGAGCTGCTGCCCCCTCAGCGAGGGGATGGACAGGGCTGCCTGTCCTGGGCCAGCGTGGCAGCCAGCCCGCGCTCCCTCACGTGCTCTCGGCCACTGTCCTCATTTGAGAGAGGACAAACTAATCCGTTAGCATAAATTAACAGAGCTGGTTACAGAGGTACCTGAGCATGGACGTGGCTTAATTGGCCTTTCCCACCGCTCTGCTTCAGACCCTATAAATCCCAATCGCCATCCCCACAGTTTAATGACTGTTGGGAAATGCTAATTTGGCGTCAGGCAACACAGCTGCACCTCTGTATCACAAACAAGTTTCCCCACAAATCAGCGTGAGACAGCTTCGTAAGTGATTCGCTGTTACAATATATTGGTGGAGAATCATAAAACTGCTGTTTCATTAATGGCTCATCTTCAGGCTTGTTAGCCTTTCATTACGTGAGCTATTAGGTCCATGTATTCAAAAAATGAAATTACAGGTTCTAATCCATTATGAAAAACACAAAATCTCTGCATAGTAAATTACTGAAATGAGACAAGAGTTGTTTTTTTTTTTTAAATGGACTCCCAGTGTTTGCTGCTCCTGAACAACAGAGACTACTGAGACAACAGAACACAAGCGGAATGGATAAATAAATCACTGGTGACACTGTGCAAGGGGGAGCGATGTCACCCAGGCATTCATCTTTACGTTAACGGTGGGATCCCCAAGGCTGCAAGCGCGGGGAAATGCATTGCAAACTTAATTACAGTTGACTTTAAAATGGTATTTTTGGGCTTCTGCATTCACAGGGTTATTTGCATACAAATAGTGTGTCTCACATAGTTTTAAGCCCCAGACTCGCACGTTTGGGTGCAGGGGCTCTCGGTGGCCGGCTCGCGATGCTGTGCAGCCAGGGCTCAGGCCAGAGCCACTCCTGCCGCTTTGGGGATCTGTCCTGGGCACCTGTGGCTTTGCTAAAGATCCACAGCTGCCGGGCGGTGCCAGAGCTGATGCCAGCCCGGTGACAGTGACATAGGGGTGACACCGACGGGGCGGGATGGCTGGCACACTCGTGGGGGACGGAGCGGAGACGCCAAACCTGCCGCTCCTGGGAGAGCTGCTGCGTGCCGAGGGATGGTCAGCGGCTGCTGCCTCCTGCACCAGGATGAGGACGGTGCTGCTGGGAGGGGGATGGCGTGGCTGCCCTCACCACCCCACTGGATAATGGGTGCCCCTGTGACGGTGGAGCTGGGGGGTCACCTCTGCCCCAGGAGGTTCCCCTGCGGCACAGCAGCGCTGCCCACGCTGCTGTCATGCCAGTGCCCTCCCCACCAGCACACTTGGGCTGGAGAAACACTGTGGTGCTCCCCACCCAGCAGCAGCGCATAAGTCATCCATGCCATGTCCTGGTGATGGGAATCTGCAGCGCGGCAGAAACGGAGGAGGTCAAAAACGCTGACGCTGAGTGAACACCAGGGCAGCTCTGTGCAGAAATCACTAGGGACGTAGGGGAGCAAACTCCGCTCTGGCCTTGCAGCAAATGGAGAGCAGAGCAGTCTGTCCCTCCCCTGCGCCCGCTCCCTCCGACTGGCTGGGAGAGAAAAACCACCCGGGAGGGTCAGGAACATGCCCAGCGCCGGCCCAGCCCCGCTGCTCGCTGCGGAGGGTGCTGTGCTTTGCCCCAGCCCGGGCGAGAGCTGCTGCCCACTCCGCTGCAAGGGCAGGGACATGGCCTCGTTCTGGGGATGCGCAGGATGGGTCCCCTCCGAGGGGGTACAAGCCCCAGCAGGAGGTTTTGGAAGCTCTTCCCAGCAGTAACAGTGGGACGCAGCTCAGCCCTTGTCTCCTGCAAACGCTGTTCAGCAGCCACAGGCTTTTTGCTTCATTTGCTTTTCATTGCTCTTGCCGAGAAGGCCAATGCTCTGATCATTTAATTGCCAGGGGCATCACTGCTGCCCCCAGGACCGTCCGTCAGTGGGGGGCTGCAGGCATGAGTCCTTGACGGTGCCCCTACAAACACTGCCCCGGGGCCGGGGGCTCCCAGGCAGCAGGACCTGCTAGGCATACCGGGGGGAGCGGGGGGCATCCCCGGCGCCAGCCAAATCCCCTGCTCGAGGCATTGCTCTGGCTGGAGAGACAGCGTTCATTCCTCTTGCATTAGAGATTGTTTTCACTGTGGTCACTCAGCTTGCAAAGCCCTTTCGTGCCTTTTGATGCAGGTGTTCATGCTCCAACCTGCGGATTAGAGGTTGCGTTTCCCCACATGACTGGAGGGGGGACACATGCCAGGTATGTCCAGTCGCTGGCACGGCCCCAGGAGAGCTGCCATCCCCCGACGTGGCCGAGCCGGCGTCACTGCCCCACGGAGCCTGGAGCTGCCATCCCCCTGGGCAGCCCCATGGCTGGGGGGCAGCAGCAGTGGTGAGCCCAGCCCCAGTTCCGGCTGTGCCAGTGCGAAGAAAGCACCTCACCCTGAAGGAGTTAACTTCTCACCAGCACCTCTCCCAGACCTGAATTATTAATTTTCTTATAATCTGCCTTTGGGCACCCCGCGGCCCCTACAACGCTCCCACATTAAAGAAACATGTGCTCCCTCGCTGGCTGCGCTGCTTTGATGTCGAACATGCGTGAAACACTCTCCCAGGGAGGAATTTGTACAAAAATTCATCCGAGGATTGAGATATTGCAGATAAGCGTGTGTGGGGAGAGCGCCCATCCGATAATCCCGTCACAGCGCTGGCCCCCCTATCCAGATGGCAGGGCAGCTCCCAGGTAAATATTTGCCTGCTGCAGCTCGCTGCGCGGGAGGACGTGGCGGGCGCATCCCAGGCTCTCCTCGGGGGCCAGAGGCTGATGTGCGTGTAATCCTGGCCTCCATCCACTCAGCGGCATAAAAACAAACTGTTTAATTTGGCAAAAACCCTCAAGTGCCGGCTCTTGTGATGAGGGTTGTGAGCTTTCCCTCCTCCAGCAGCTGCATCCAGGAACGCTGCCGGCGCGCAGGCTGGGAGAGAGGAGCCTGCCGGGCTGGGAGCCAAAATCCTGCAGCACAAGTGAGCGCCTGCTCGCTGCCCTCCCAGTGGGGCTGGACCAGCTGGGGCTCACAGGGTGGTGGGGGAGCACAAGGGTCCCTGCTCCCTGCGGGTCCAGGAGCTGGGAGGGGGGGGGCTGTGAGCACATCTCCAGCTGCAGCTCGATGTGGCGGAGTTGA